CTCTGTTGATTATCATCGGGTTCCAACGCCACCATCTCCGCATTCCCGCGATGAGGATGGTTTTGAACGACAAGTGCCGCTTTCCATCACACGAGAGTACGCTTGGGAACAACAACAACTTCCCCTGGATTTGAAGACATTCAGTAGCACTATTGGCATATACATGCATGGTTCCCTCAATCTCAATCGGCCTCGGCTGGGCATTCAATCAGGCACTAGCGCCACGACGCGTTTCGCACATGTTTTATCGCAGATCCGGACGGCTCAGCGCAACCCATGCAAGCCATTATGCGGTGGCCGCAAGCCTACTTTGAAGCCGTCAAGGTTGCAGACAAAGTCGCCGCTAAGGAAGGCTTCAAGGATCTCGAAGATTACAAGTACGATTTGGCAAAGGGTGACACTCTAAAGGTCGTCGACTTCCATTGGCGGCCCACTGATCACCTTCCTATCATTGCTTACCATCGCCTTGTCGGCGATGGCTGGACAACTGAACATCTCTTCGTCGAGGCCGGTCTAGGACCTCTTGAGACCCTGTTGAGGGCTTAACCTACTACCTAAATCTAGTAAGGTGGAAAACCTCGGCAAGGTCTTGACTATGCTTTTCATCACTTCTCATCGACCATCAAATTTACTACCCCAAGGCTATCGTCGTTAGGTGAGTTAGGACGATTAAATTGGTCAGGAGAGTATATGGCTAGAAATAGAGGAATCTCTTCTTAAGTGTGGTTAGCGCGCGTTTGATATTCATTATATAGATAGTGTTGAGGAGCTCATCAAGGTCTTGATTTATATGGTGATCTATACATAGAATCCAAAACCTTTGCCCTTGCCTTAACTTACCCGAGGCCTTGCTGAACTGGCTGCCAGTCGCAGGTCAGAGCTTTCTAGATCTGGCCGGTTGATACGGGAAGAGGGGCACCCGTCTTGTAAGATCTCTAGTCTCCTACAGTCCTAAAGCGCGTCCGTGAGCGCGGTCACCTTTAAATACAATCGGAAACCAACGAAAAGAGCCTTAAAACGCCAAAAACGCCGGTCACCTCAAACGCCTGGTCGCTCTTCCCCCTAGTTCTGACTCTGACCGCAGTCGCAAGCTGCTCAACAAGTTGCTCCTCAAATTTTTACTCCCGCATTTTTCCAGATCAGAAACACACCTGTTCCTCTTCCATCCCCAGTCCTTCGTGTCGCGCGCATCCACCACCGCCGCAATGGCTGCGTCTCACACTGTTGTGGCCCCGGCCGCCCCCGAGAAGAAGCTTGAGGGCCTCAGCCTGTACTCTCGGTTCGCTTTTGCCGGTGCCGTCTGCTGTTCTGTCACCCATGGTGCCTTCACTCCAGTTGATGTGTATGCTTATCCATCGGCTTCGGCTCTAGTGCCCAATGTTCGCGACTTACTGACACTCCCACAGTGTCAAGACTAGGATCCAGCTCGATCCTGCCACCTACAACCGTGGTATGATTGGCGGTTTCCGTCAAGTCATTCAAAACGAGGGCGCTGGCGCTCTCTTGACCGGCATCGGGCCAACCTTCGCCGGTTACTTCATGCAGGGAGCTTTTAAATTCGGTGGTTATGAGTTTTTTAAGCAGCGATCTATCAACGTTCTTGGTCTCGAAACGGCCCGTCAGAACCGTACTGCCGTTTACTCTGTCTCGGCCGCCTCCGCCGAGTTCTTCGCCTCTATCGCTCTCTGTCCTCTCGAGGCTACACGTATCCGTCTTGTCTCTCAACCTGGCTTCGCAAATGGTCTGATCGGTGGTTTCGGCAAGATTTTCAAGAACGAGGGCATTGGTGCTTTCTACCGTGGTTTCGGTCCTATCCTCTTGAAGCAGTACGTTTCATGGTCTTGACGTACGATTAGAAACTCAACAATAAGCTGATATGATACAGGGTGCCCTACACAGTGACCAAGTTTGTGGTTTATGAAAAGGTCGCCGAGGCTGTTTTTGCTCGTCTTGACAAGTCCAAGCTGTCCAACAGCGCCCAGACTGGTGTTAACTTGGGATCCGGTCTCATTGCCGGTTTCGCTGCTGCCATTGTCTCTCAGCCCGCTGATACCATGTTGTCCAAGATCAACAAGACCAAGGGTCTCCCCGGTGAGAGCACCGTTTCCCGTCTCATTCAAGGATTGCTGGCGAGCTGGGTCTTCGTGGATCCTTCGCTGGCCTTCCTACTCGTCTGTTCATGATCGGTGTGTCTCACTGCTGGGCAATTCGCCATCTACGGTGACATCAAGAAGGCTCTGGGTCAGTCCGCTTACTTTCTTAATTTCCCCCGATCAAGGCTGACTTTGTTCCTTGAGTGCCACCAATGGTGTTGAGATCGCCAAGTAACGACCCATTGAATTTCAACATTCACATGGCTTAGAGAGAGATAGACGTGACTACAATAGACTGTATATATTTGTCCTTTACATTAATGCGCTCCTCATAAGGCTGTTCTCATTGTGCTACTATTTCTACAGTTTCTTATGCTCTAGAAATCCGTGTAAGATGATTACTGATCACTCTGTCGCAGCGCAGAGACAATAGTGTCGTATGTTGATTTATGGGCAACAATAGGTCCATATGCAGTAAAAAAGGCCGACCTTAAGCGACAAAAGCAAATATATAGGAGGGATTTAACATAGTCATGCAGAATGAACTCATCCTGCGTTTTACATAAGATGCCAGAAATCTTGCTTATCAGGTCCAGTCATCCATGGCCAATCATTCACCAGGATTCAATGAGGACATTACAGCCTTATTATCACCTCTATAATGTTGGCCTCTCCCTAGGATCACCAACTCAGATCTATGCTCGGCCAACCCCACCGGATGTGTGGAGACCTGGTTTGACATACATCAGAGAGCTCGTCATCTAGGCCACAGAAAATGGCGTGTTTCTATAGGGAAAGGCGGCATCTTTACCGGTCACTAAAGCATAACTTTAGATATCATGCTTACAACTATTCCAGATATAGTTTCAAGCTTATAGGGATCTTCTCTCGAAATTCTTTGTGGTTTCTTAGATTTTCTAAGCAATCATAACATTGTCCTTGTGCTACTAAATCGGGCAAATATATTTCCCTATTGAAGAGTTCTCAGGAATGATTCAATACTCAAGCAAATCAAATCTCCCCTTTTTGAGCGAGCTCCGCATGGCACTAATTGTACCCTCAACAGCCCCCTTGCTCATCATCTTTTCCCTCTCCCTCATCACAGCCAGTTCCTCCTCCGAAGCGCCTGGGTGCCTCCACTCAAAAACATAGGTCATATACAGCTCCCCTCGGCACCTTCACTGACAATGTTACTGATGTTACTCCCATCCGGTTGAAAAAATCGACCCGGGAGTCTTTGTGGGCCGTCACCGTCTCCTTGACTTTCCGCTGGTCTTGACGAAAAACCACTTCGCGGATGGTGACGGGATTTCCAGCTTCATCAACAGATTCACTGAGGACTGAGGTTGACTGAATGCCGGCTGGAACGAATGTCTCTGCGGAGCGGATCTTGAGAGTAAGCCATTCCAGATCTGACTGCGGGTGAGGATTGGATTGGCACCGCGAGGATTTATGGGAGCAGTGAAAGCGACATTGTTTGTTGGGATGACCATTTTGAGAGGATGTAATCTTACTTAACGAGATGGATAGCCGTTCTGATGAAGCCTAAGGTAGCCAGTCTATATAGGCACTCAATACCCCGCTGTAATCATAATCATAGTTAACTATCCCTTCGTGGCTTACAAAGCTCCCGGTGTTTCGGACCGCGAGTGCTGACACGCTGAGTAAGGTAAGCATGCACGGCCCCATCAGCCTTGAAATTTGTCAATCTTAATATTATTGTTAGTTACCGGTGGTCAAAATTAAATGGTCTAATTTGGGCATCCACTGATAGATTAGGGCTAAGCAGCCTCAGACCGATGAACAAAAAGGATGACGTCCACTCCAATGTCAAAGAAAACCTGGTGATATGGAGACAACTTAGTGAGGCCCATTTGAATTCACCGTGTTACTTTATATGAACAGGGCTAGTTGATAATTATACTCTGCCTAGTATACCTTCCATAGCTGGACAGTGGACTAGCAAGGTTGGCAGTAAATAGTTGAGTAAACATGCTATCCCTAATACTTGCAAACCACCAAGAATGCATAGGAAAACACATGATCTAGATTCCATGATATCGTCTGCAGTACAGGGGCTTAACTAGAGGCCCCAACAAAACTATCAATCAATCTCTCCATTTCTTCTGGTGCCTCTGTCGGACAGGAAAAGTGGGCCACGCTCTTGAGAAGCACCAGCCGGGAATTTGGCATATTGTCGACCATTAGGCTGCACACCCTGTTCCACCGGAACAGTACGGTCATCCTCTCCATAAATAATCAGAGTAGGGACGGTAATCCGGTTGTATCCATCGCCAATGTCATAGGACACCAGGCAGCTTGCATTGTTGCGGCGGCCATGCGCAGGCCACTTTGCAGCTTCCAGGGCAATCGACCGATCAAGCCCCATGATAGTGTAGAAGTCGACGCATTTTGACAGCTCATCAACTCCTGCGGTGAGCCCCTCATATGGGAAAAACTGTTTCGCACTCTTGCCATCATAATAGGTTGCAGTGTAGATGATTTTGGAGACTCTGGTCGGATTCCTCAGATAATAAGCCGAGGCGATATTGCCGCCCATGGAATGAGTGACCAGGGTAACCGGCTCATTGATCTTGGCAGCCTTTAGCACGGCGTCGAGGTCTGCAGCGTGCTGGGAATGTTATATGTTTCCGGAGATTCAGGCTTCGATGACCGTCCATATCCACGAAGTCGTGCGCAATGCACCGGTACTTGGCGCTCAGCGAGCAATCAACGGTTGCCACAAACTGGCAATGCCCATATAGCCGGAGACGAGTACCAGTATCGGGCCGGTGCTTCCGTGCACTTAATAGTAGATCTCTCGGGCATCGTTGGTTGTAGCGAAGGCCATATTGTAGGTGAAGATTGTTGTATGGAATTTTAGGGAGTGGAGAGGAGACTTGAAGGATAGCTAAGGTATTTGATTAAGCTGGTTGTTGTATGATAAGCATACAGGAGAACAGTGCGCATTTATATATCATGCCCAGACCAGAGATATTCATTAAGCATTTTTCAATTTTTCAGCATGACAAATCTGGGACAGATCTACAAAAGGATTCTGAAGCACACGCCACTAAGCCCACCGATCTGTGAGATGAAGCCGGAACAGGTTATGATGTGGGCCTGATGGGATACTGAGAAACCCTAACAAAGTTACCAAATGGGCACCTTGGGTCGGAAACGAATAGAAAGAAGGACGGAACATGGCCGATTGAGGCGGATCTGGAACCACTCGACGATAGAAACGGCGAATCTCGTTTAAGATGGAGATCCCGAATAGATCAAGGAACTTCAGATGTTTGTTCCGCATGGCCGATTTGCCTATGATCTTGCCTCGCAGCTCATCTTTCTTGCTCATTATGCAGCCGTCAATCTTTACTCGCAATTATTCTCTCAGCTCCGAATATTCCTTACACCATGATGTTCATGCTCTTTGAAACAAGTCAAACAGATCGCCTTGATCTATCTCAATGCCAATGACCGCCTTGCGCCATTGTCGACCACACTAAGGATATCAGGGACAGATATATCTATAGTGTTCATAATAAGGAGAGTGAATGAATGAATGGAGGGAGCAGCTTGGAGATTTTCGTTGGTAAACTGCTGCCTTTAAGCATGACCCCAACTTTGCCAATGTTTCTTTGATTCCCGTCTTACCATGATATCCACATCTATACCGTCCCCTCTGAGCGATTGAATAACTTGGAATCAGACCGTCATCATGGCTCACTTCGCCGGTCCCATTGTCTGACGGTCTGACCGGGACAGCTGACTACCCTCTCATATCGAGTCATACTGGTACACCGAAGTTAATCCTTCGTATAATTGCCCTGGTCAAGAGACCAGTGGCGTCTTGGTCATCTGGGTCCACGGGAAGGATTAATTACCCTGCCTAGACTCCTAGAGAGCTTATTAGTATGTTGTGAATCACAAGAAGAGCATGCTAGTTGCTACCTACAGCACTCGGCTTCTCCTGTGATCATCATCTAGATTGACCATGGAAATGAGTTATAGGTCTCCAGACTGAGAAACGTGGTCTCTGCATGCATCCCCAGCACATTTCCGCAGAGCCTCTGCAGCCACAGCTGCATCCCAGTCTGGGGTCTGTCTGTACCGTGCGGAGGGGATCAGTCTGTTCGGACCCGAGCTAGTTTCCATTTCTGAATGCTTACCCGTCAAGCATATACTAGGCATTCGGCCAATCATTCTACACCAAAAATAGCCCAAACTTCGACCAAGCCAGACCCACCAATTTCGGCAGGTGGCGGGACAGTGGCATGAGTCCATGATTATGATTGACGGGACATGCAGTCGGATCAGAACGGCGCCCCCACTATATCGCCGACCCGGCAGCACGGCCAACAGGAGGGGGATAAGCACTAGGATTCCCTGGCATTCCGATGAATAATTGAGTTCTGCGAGGATTGGCCGGGGGTTACACTTGGATGTGATATGATTGTATTGTTGTTGGGTATAGATAGCTTAGAACGACTGGAGACAAATGCCATTCTCAATATAGTTTTTCTTCACCATGCAGAAAAAACATTATTTTCCGTAATCTGCCTTTCTCCCCATCAGCGGTCGCGTTTTCTGCTCGCAGCCCCTGTCTTTTTGTCCACCTCGCTCGATCAGAAGATGCACACGGCCAAGGTAGCGGCCGGTTCAGTGAATCTCTCCAAGTCGGCGTCGTTATCGACAGCGGTCGCCAATCACACCCATTCTTCGCCTGTGTTCTCAATCTAAGCTCAATTCTCCAGTCGCCTTGGTTGCAGTGGAATATCTGCCGTTGTCAGAAGTCAACCAACCTTACCTCTCACTGAATATCGGCGTGCTTCTGTCTATGGGTGACACCTGGCCCATTGCTGGCAGCTCCATGCAACTCATCCGGGAGATCGTCATGGAAATACAAGCTGCGGCTGCAGCAGGCAGGGTACGATACTTACTACACCGGCAAGCTGATGAAACGCCCACTCGGTCGACAACTACGACAGTCTGCATGTCTCCGGCTTCAATGGATCGGATTTCGTCCTGGATCCATATACCTACGACTACATGAATGCACGTATCAGCGCAACCATGATCCGCCTGTCAGTTACCTCGGTAGACACACGACCGAAGTTCTCCGGGAGAAAGCCATGGGGTTCTTGGAAGACGCTTTAGACGGCGAGCGGCCATTCTTCCTGGCTGTCGCACCCATCGTCCCGCATTCCAACATGAACGGGACGTATGGAGGAGGTGCCGGGCCCATGTGGATGGATGAGCCTATCCCGGAGGACCGCACAAACATCTGTTCCCGGACGCCAAGGTCCGCGGACTCCCTAATTCATCCTAAGAAGGTGAGTTAGAGTTGATTCCTAACTGACAGAGTTACTGACAAGTAGCCAACGGCGGTAAGCTGGATCCATGATCTCCCCTATCGAACCAGACTGTCGTCGACTACAACGATCACTACTACGGCAGCGGCTGCGCGCACTCCAGGGAGTTGACGAGCTGGTAGATCAGCTCATCACCCGGTTAGAGCAAAGCGACAAGCTCGAGAACACGTACATCATCTCACCTCCAACAACGGCTTCCACGTCGGACAACACCGCCTTCCCCCCGGCAAGACCTGCAGTTTTGATGAGGATATCCGCGTGCCGTTCTTCATTCGTAGCCCTGGTATCCCCGAGGGCGCGCAGCAGGATATCGTCACGACGCATATCGATGTTGCCACCCACGTTGTTCAGGCTAGCTGGGTTGCCTCTCCGCGATGATTTCGATGGGACCAGCAATGCGGATTGCTGATGCAACAGGGACGCTCCATGAGCATGTAGCGGTTGAGTACTGGGGACAGGCTATGTTGGAGGGTGGCATTTCGAATCTTGATATGTACCCTTCTTCAAGCTAGGATGTGGTCTGATTTACATAGGAATCCCGACGGTTCCAAATACACCTACAAGGCGGTGCGAATCCTTAGTAATGAGTACAGCCTCTACTACTCGGTCTGGTGCAACAACGAGCATGAGCTCTACGATCCCACGCGTGTCTTCCATTCCATGGTATCGTTGAAGAAGGCTAATGAACGCAGACTGACCCGTATCAAATCAACAATCTCCACCCCAGCGCACGGAAGGGCCAGGCAGATAAGCATCGCATCATGGGCTTTGACATTACCCAAGTGATCTCCAGACTTGACGCCTTCTCCTCGTCCTCAAGTCGTGTCAGGGGAAGACCTGCGTCAAGCCATGGGACGTGTGCTTCATCCGGATGGGTCCGTTCACAATCTACTGGATGCTTTGGATCACAAGTATGATGCTTTCTACCGTGACCAGTTCAAAGTCTCCTTTGATCGATGTGAATATGGTTATGTTATTGACGCTGAGGGCCGCAGACTGCGCTGGCGTACAGGAATGGGTATGCCTTGGAGGCGTGGGTTTAGTAGGCTAGATATCTAATAAATCTGACGGGGAGACGATGGTTCTGTGGGCTTTGATTTGTTCCTCAGCGGGTTTCTAGAGATAGACTGAAATAGCCACGATCCCTTCATTAGCTCTATTACAGGATCAGCTTAGACTCTCGTATTTCAAGTTAGCAATTGCAACGCATCCACCAACCAGGACTAGCTAGTGCCTCGTATTCTGCGTTGGTTCGTGGGATTTACTTGGCGCATTACGATCGACACATATCTTTCTTAGTAATATTAGCGCAGTTAAAACCCACATTTTTACCTTCCCCTCACTTGTCTGTCTGGCGTTTGTTACAGCTGACAACACAGTGATAATGGGAAAATCACCTTCTACTGCAACATATGCGGTGGGCCACTGTCCTGCTATGATCTCCGCAAGGCTTCCACGGCTTGTGGAAGCGAGGACCTCAGCCTCTGCTACGATGATGACTGTGACTGCGGAGGCTGGCTCCGAGACCAGAAGCTGAAGACGAGGAGGGATGGAGAAGATGGGGACGAGAACTCTTCCGCCGCGTGTTGAACAATGATTAGTGTTATGCGCATCCTCAGGGTGACTAACAGCGGGGATTTGGTATCTGAGAAGGATATCTTGGTATGTTAACAATCCACATGAGAATATTATCCTGACTGTTGCTAGTGGCTGGAGGAAGTGAGAATGCTGCGTCCTAGGGGTTCCCAGAGTAACAAGCATAATGAAATGCAGGATGATGACGATGCGTACTATATCACTGAAAATGTAAGTCATTAAAAGTTCAGCTGTAGAGGTGCCCATCGTCATGTCAGTGCCTGTGACTGATGAACCCAAGGGCAGCTATGATCCGTGGTATGGACTGGAGGTTCCTGGCGAGAACACAGGGAGTAGCGATGGAAGGCTGTGGGCGAATATAGATGGCTTCTTTCTGCATGATACCTGCTGGCAGATGCTTCAACTTGTACATCAAACTGTGAATCCGAGTTCGCCACCATTACAGCCGCGCGGGGTGTATCTCGCTATGCAGGCTCGACTAGGGGATGACATGGAGAAATCCATCGACTGGGAGGACAGTAGAGTCTATGGTGGTACGGAAGACTTTCAATCGCAAGAGTGGGAAGCAGAGCCAGGGTATGAGGTAAGTTGACCTAAATTATGTTGTTTAAAGGCGAACTCCCTTGTATCAGAGTATTAGCTGACGCCTTTCAGTGGTTAGTCGTGGACCCTTTGAAGCCAGTCGACATCTCTGAGCTCATCTCCGCCTCAAAGAGTTCAAACCCAGGCTCCACAAATGCAATTGTATACGGGGGTGCACTAAAATTGTCGGCTGTAGATCCATTTTCAAGTCTACCATGGGATGTCCGTTATAGGATTCTGCAAATGCTTCCCTCGCCATCCATCATCGATCTAGTCATTGCCAGTGCCGTATTTCGTGGAGCTGCCCGTGACCTGCCTGATCACTTTTGGAGATTACGTCTGGCCTACGATTGTCCATTGATTGACCAAGACTCACTTCGACAGAACATTGCTCAAGCAGGCGGGCAGGCTAACTACAAGGATCTCATTCGTCTAATCAAGGCAGCTGCAGCAAGGCCAGAAGACGGAATGAACGAAGACCGGGATACCTGGTTAAACCTCAGAAATCGCCATCGGATCTGGACCTGCTGTGAGGTTATCCTCGGGAAGTTGGAGAAGGAAGCAAAATCGTGTGTCCCATTCAGCCAGAGTGCGAATCTGGCGAGATCCGACTAACCTCCACCAGGGAAACCCTCAACAGACTCTGAAGCTCATCCACTTCAGTCTAGTGAACTCGCCAGCATATGTGGTGTGACTGTGTATTTGGGATCAAAGGCCTTCATTGTTGGAATAGAATGGCATGTAGGAGAAATGTCCGGTAGCTGTCGCCCAGGACAATAAGCAAAATGAAGTTGATAGGCGCGTCAACGTTGGATACTTCAATCACGGCTCCTTGAGGTGCCACATTCCCGACTATCGCCCTGGTAGATGTTAATCAAGACCGCTGCAGGCATGCAGTCTTGGATCATGTGAGCCAAACGGACGGGCGGAGTCACACCGTCAAGCGGGACATAGACAGCGCCAATCTTGATGATCGCATTTTGGTAAACGGCGACTTTAGAGCTAGCAGTGACGATGCGATGCTGTTAAGTTGCCTCGAAAGCTCCCTTTAAGTGATAGTGTTCATCCAGGTCATTTTAAAGGCAGGACCTTGCATCGAGTCAGGTTTGGCAATACAGAGGTTCTTAATTGTTGTTTACCCACCATGACCCCCGCGATAGCCTTTGACAACAAGGATCGCCTGAACTTCCATTTGCTATTCACTGGATCGTTTGGCCGATCAGCAAATTCCCGCAGGATGTCTTCGTAGCTGTTTGCAAAAATCCGGGCTGCGTCGGCATTATAGAGAGATTTTTTGAATGTTGAGGACGATCTTTGTGTCCGCGTCATCATCTGCTGCTGTGTTGGTAATGATTATAAAAGCAATATTGTAGGGGAGCTCGGCCTGGTCCTTAGCCGTCATCTCGCAGTCGCAGTCCAAGAACTCATGTCTGCTCTCAATGCTCGTCTCCGCGAAACTTATAAATGCCTGAGCTAGTGATGATGACCTCAAGAGAGATCGCATTGGAGAGAGCCCAGAGGCTCTTTTCCTGTGAGTTGACTATGGCATCTGCAAAGAACTGTGATGGTAGCGCCTTTACGTGAGGAGACAGCATTTTTAAGAATGGGCTAATTCCAGTCCACATGCCTTTGTCTTGATGATAGCTGTTGGCAAAGCTGATGCAAACTTCCTCTATACTCAGCCAGCGGAAGAGTAAAACCTTGAAAGCTGTCAGGTGAAAGTGGAGTGGCGTGGACCTATACTTGTGGTTGACTTGCCGGATCCTGCTTGCGAGCTTGCTGTCAATATGCAACTCGCATTCTGAAGCCTGGTGCGAGAGCTATATCTCGTGAGAGGACGGCCTCCGGGATGCTGCTTCAATGGAGGGGAAGCGCTCTGGGATTTGTGGCAAACTCGCGTCGCCTGAATATCATTGCGTTTTGTCCATTTGCCTGAATTGTGCTCTCCATCCAACTGATTGGAAT